TATATATACCAAGGAACTACACAGTGGTTGCTCAGCTTTTTGAAGACTAGGCTAGGCTAGGCTAATATTTAAGCTTCAGTCCCATTGCTCACAAGAAAAGCAACATATATGTGGATTACTGATCCTTTGCAAAGTCACCTTAACTTCACTGTGGTTCCAGGTCAATGTAGCACATTTTCCCCATGGCCTCCATTGGGGAGAGAGTAATTTTTACTGCTAGTTGACTGGTAGGGAACTGTTGCGGGTGGGTCTTTTTAGTAGTATTATTTTCAGATAATTGATCCATCTTTTTTGATCGTAGTCATCACCAGTCAAACAAAAGCAGTTTGTTTCTACACTGGAATCAATAAAATGGAAAATGTATTATGGCTTAGCCATAAACTTAGCCATTAGCTTTTGCTGTTTTGTCTCTTGTTTAAGGATAGTTTTTCCTACCATTCATATTCTATTGGTCGTATGTTAGGTCTGTGTGATCTGTAATCTGCGCAGAAAATACATGCTGTCCGCAGTTCAAGACTAGCTTTTTTGTTTCAGTGTTTGCTGCTAATATAATGTGTTATATTGATCCAGTCTGGCTTCTCAAGTATTTTCCTGATGGTGATGAGAAAGATGGTGTAATTCTCCACCAAAAAGAAAAGAGCTTAATTTTCATGCAAACGAATATTCAACAGAATCATAAAGCCCTAGCCCTAGTAATAAAAATAGAAGCTGATGCTATTAATACATCATTCCAGATACACAGAACACCATTATGTGGCTCCTGGGTTGAGTAAAACTTCATCTAATCACAGTGGCCATAGACTTGAGCCCTATAAAGTTGGAAACTTCACCAGATGGCCATTGTCAAGGCAGCTTCTAAAGACTCTACTGCTGCAATGTGTTAAGGCTCTAGATATGACTCACTCAGTGGTAGCTTTTTAAAATACAATTACTGAACATAACTGATCCACATTACGGAAGCAATAATAATAATACTTTGCACTCAGTGACCTTTTATCTGAGGATCCAAAAGCTGTTAACCAAGGCTTTTAAATACTCCCTTTCTGCTTGCAGGAAATAAAGTGTTCAGAGGTTTGATGGAGTGTGAGAGAATTGAGCAACAGCAGTCCATCTCCATGGCCTATTATAAGCAGTCAAGCAGTGCTCTCTGCAGGTCTGCGACTGGGACAGGAGAGCGCTCCTGTTACTGTCCCTGTCCCTGACAGCTGGGACATGATGTGCCAGTCACTTGGGGTGGAACCTCCTCCTTCAGTAGTACTTTTAATCTTGAGTAGAATCATAGAATAGAATCATAGAATCATTAAGGTTGGAAAAGACCTCCAAGATCATAGAGTCCAACCGTCAACCCAACACCACTATGCCCACTAAACCATGTCCCTAAGTGCCTCATCTACCCGTCTTTTAAATACCTCCAGGGATGGTGACTCAACCACTTCCCTG